GTTACAGGGCTACGTAGATGCAGAATTTGGAGGTGAAGTTGATCACCGAAGAAGCACCACCGGTTATGTTTTCGCTGTCGGGACTACAGTTGTTAGTTGGATTTCGCGGGTACAAAAGATTGTTGCTCTATCCACTACAGAGGCTGAGTACGTAGCAGTGACAGAAGCCAGCAAAGAATTGATATGGCTTCAAGGATTGTTAGCAGAGTTGGGTTTCACTCAAAAGGAGAGTGTCTTGCACAGTGACAGTCAGAGTACAATACATCTGGCAAAGAACTCAGTGTTTCATTCCAGAACTAAGCACATTGACATACGATATCATTTCATCAGATCTCTTCTTGAGGATGAAGTGTTTACTTTAAAGAAGATTGTAGGAAGCAAGAACCTAGCAGATATGCTAACGAAGGTGGTGACCATTGACAAAACTAAAGTTGTGCTCAACTTCAGTTGGCTTGCTAGGATAACAGATCGAGAAGACTACTGCAGTATTGAGGTGTGAGGACAGATTAAAATCAGTTCTCAAGTGGGAGATTGTTGGCAGCATTAATTCTTGGTGGCTACATTAAATTTTGGTGGCTGAATTAATTTTGGTGGCTACATTAAATTTTGGTGGCTGTATTAATTTTGGTGGCTACATTAATTTTTTGGTAGCTTTGGTGGCTGGAGAAGAATTTCAACATCCAATTTCTCAACTATAAAAGGAGGCCATTTTGTGAAACACGGACAACACCAAGAGCAACAAAAATACAAGAGAGAAAGAGAGAAAAATAGAGTGAGCTAGAAAAAGAAAATTTTAGCTTCTGTGTGTATTTGTGTTGTGAGCTGTGAGTGAGTTTACGAGTGTTTTGTAAACACGAGTGTTTTCTTTTCTCCTAATAAAATATCTGCAGTAGTCTGGAGACGTAGGCATTATTGGCCGAACTCCGTTATCAATTTGGCGTGTCAAATTTTTCTTTTTTTTTTTTTTATTTCACTTTTATAGATCCGACTTCATGGAAATTTCAGCGTATTTTTCCCAACAAGGAATACATCTGTCTAAGGAGATGTCTCCTAAGACGTCTCAAGAGATAGAAGAGAGGAAGACAGTTCCTTATACTTCGGCAGTAAGAAGTCTCATGTGTGCTATGTTGTGTACTAGGCCGGATATTAGCTACGCCATTGGCTTAGTAGCTAGATATCAAAGTAATCCGGGACGAGAACATTGGTCTGCGATGAAGCATATACTCAAGTACTTGAGAAGGACTAAGGAGTACATGTTAGTTTACCGTGCAGACAGCTTGTTACCACTGGATTAATGTGATTCTGATTTCCAGTCAGATATGGACGAAAGTAAGTCAACTTCTGGTTATGTGTTTACCTTGGGAGGCGGAGCCATTTCATGGAGGATTGCTAAGCAGAAATGCGTGGCAGACTCCACCATGGAAGCCGAGTACATAGCAACTTCAGAGGCAGCGAAAGAGGCAGTTTGGCTCAGAAACTTCTTAGTGAACTTAGAGGTGATTTCGAGATTGCCACGTGGTATACCGTGTACTGTGATAACAGTGGAGCAGTAGCAAACTCAAGGAAACCACGAGCCCACAGAGTAGGCAAACACATACAGCGCAAGTACCATATGATTGGAGAGATAGTTGGTAGATGAGACGTTGATGTTGCCAAAATTGCATCTGAGGACAACCTTGATGATCCCTTCACGAAGAGTTTGCCGTAGAGTGCATGGCGATAGGATCGGCATAGGTATTTTAGAATAACGGATTGATAGGACTATACTTGTAAAAGCGGAAGTTTTAAGTATAAGTTGGAGATTGTTAGTGTTATATACTAAAAGCTAGGTTTTAGATGATATTACACTTTTACCCTTTATGAATAAGAATCATGTTAGATTAAACGAGTTCTACGTTCTGTTGTTTTGCATTAGATAGGGTGGGTCGTCATCAGGCGAACCGAAGATCACTCTATCAGTTACTCACAAAACAAAAATAATGGTTCACAACCTAGCTAGATGGAGATGAACACCCCATCGTGAACGGATGTAGTGTCAACGGTACAATTTGTCTTGACTGATTAGTTGCACTACTACATTTATGTATTGAACAAGATCCCAGAGAGTAGCAGTTCATTTTAAACTTTGTCGTAAACGAACTAGGCCTCAGTTAATTACTGCGTACTCTTAACCCATAAGACATTAAATAGACATGTACATGCAGTATTTATTGCTTTGATTCACACGATTGAGGTTTAGTGAGCTGGACGAATAAACCGACTGTCTTAGGTAATATTGCTGTATGTATGATGTGTTATTAGGATATTACGGTCACCATGTGCGTTTAGTTTGATGATGTCCCCAGAGTGAGTTCATGAAGGATTATTATGCTAACCCTGCAGGTGGATTAAATTCCGGCATAGTAAGAATATGATGAACGAGCGCTAGCTTCAGTTGAATAATAATAAATTAATTAATTTTTGATTGTAACTAATCGAATTAATTAATGGATATTATATCTTAAACATGGAAAGATAAATCGAGTAATTATTATTGAAGTTTCAATTGTAAATTGGACTAGGAAAATGGAGTGCAATAATATTATGTTGGTGGCCCATTAATATTATTTAATTAATTAGAATAAGTTGGTTGACCCACAAGTATTTTAATTAATTAAGGAGCCATATTCCTAATCTCTTAAGGGTCCCTACTGTAGATTTATATATACATCATTAAGCTCATGAGATATGTAGAGATTCCCATAGTTCATACAACACGCACGCCCTCTCTCTCTCTCTCTCTCAATTCTCATTCGAGCTTTATCTTCTTCTTATTGCTTCACCGGTACAAGTTGAGGAAGGGTGTTTGAGATATACAGTAGAAGATCCCGTGGTTTATTGAGATACATATTTATAATCAACCCCGGAGATCAACCAGAGACAGCCAGGAGCCGCGACGACCGCCGACCTGACAGCCGCCGCGACCCAGCCGGAAGCCGGCCGTGACTAGCCGGAGCTTGACATGAGTCGCACGTGCCAAAGCCGTAGCTCGCGACGCGCCTCCGCTGACCAGCACGCGCTCCCGGCGTCCGACGATCCATGTCAGGCAATCCGTCCCACCACACGACCCGATCAGATTGCGAGCCCGACGTTCCGTTCGTGATCCAATCCAATTCATGTGTTCATTCCGATCATCCTGTTGAAGATCAGCCAGATCGCCATAAATTTTAAGCCGTATATTTTCTACGTCAAACATTTAGATCCGCTGCGCATATGTTTATGTTTGCTATTGAATTCATGATTCGTACATAACGAGATCCTCACATATCCCAACACATTGAAATTCGCAGACTTTGGGTTAGAGTATATGTTCAGTATATCTACGGTATATGTATGTACAGTATATGTTCACGACAGTATATGTTGCGTGTATAGACATGCGGTATATTCGATGTGTATAAGGAGTATATGTTCAATATATTAGAAGATTCTTTTGTACACTGTTCAGTATATGTTGTGCGTATAGAGAGGATATGTTCAGTATATTAATTAGGAGATTTTTTTTGTACATGGAATTTAAGTAACATGTTATACATGTTTTTCGTTGCAGTATATACTGAATATATACTAACATAAACACAATATATACCAGCTGACTGTTGCATGAATTACAATACATGTTTTTATTTCTCTCTATTAAAAAATGTACAAGCTACGCGAATTAAAGAAACAACTGATTTTTTTTTTTTTTATGGAAACAACTGATTTTCATTCCATATCAATGAAGGCAATTTTTTTTTTTTATGGAAACGACGGAAATCATGGGAGCGGAAAGTGGATGGAGTCCACTTTTTAGGTAACTGAATCTTAGGCATAAATGTAGTTAAATCTTCGCAATTAGATAGAGACATAATTACTTGTTAATGGACGATAAATTTGTAAAATTTTCAATTTTACGCATGATAAGTGAAAATTGCATGATAAGTGAAAATTTCCCTATTAAGTTTCCCAGTCCGGCCCATTCATTCAATTCATGAAAAGCCCATTCTCAATAGTCTAACAGATAAGTGACCCACTCTATAAGCCAATACAATAATAATAAATGGTCTCTGGAACCATCGCTCACCTTCTTAATTCGGCTAGGGCGCACGTTAGCGGTCACCACCGAGCCGGAAGGAGTCATTTTGTTCACACTCTCTGTACGCCTTTGGTTTGGTGTGAGTAGGGAGAGCGAGGGAACATTTTACTTGCTATTTTAGAGGATTAAAGCGCGCAGCCACAGAAAGAAAAAAAAAAAAAAAAAAAACGCACAAACACGCAGTCTAATTTCGGATCGCCATTTTTTCTGTGCGGCGAGTAAGAATCGTCGGGTAAGCGAAGCCCCTCAGCCATTAACCCAATTTTTCATCTTTTTTTTTTTTCGTCGTTTTTTTAGTTCGTGTCAGCTCGAGAACGTGATGTTTGGGTACAAAGAGTAAACATGAACCCTAGATTTGTTTAGTCTGCTTGTGTGGTTGATCTGAGACTTCAGGTGAGTGTACTGATCCAGTTTTCATGGATGTCTTTGTGGATTTATTTTTCCCTTTTTTTTTCTGGCATTTATCCTTTTTTTTTTGTTTTTAAGTTTTACGAGCATTTTTGTGCTTAGGTATTATTCTTGAATGGAAATGGCAATCATTTTGTTCTTTGTTTCATTTTGTTTAATGTTTGGTTAGCTGCAAAAGCTGCATGGAAAATAGGGTTGTGTTTTCTGATGCCTGGGTATGTTGTTTCTATTCTCAGTTGTGTTTCGGGCAAAGCCAGTGTGTTGATACAGCATAGCTTTGTTCTGGTTGTTGTTCGTGTTGAGCTGTCTATTTGAATTGTACGTGAAATTTCCAGAGCTGCTGTGGCTGGTATATTGGGTTTGTTACCTGGTATTAGAATGGTTGTCGTCAACAATCTGAAGTAGGCGAAAGGTAAGAATTAAGTTGCAGCAGTTGTTTGCTATCAGATTGGGGTTAAGTGTGAGAAGCATTCTAATGGGGACCATAGAGAATGGGATTCAAGAGGTTGGTACCAACACAGTAGAAAATATGGCTGAAGAGCCACAGTGCAATCCTCTAACACTAGACAACGATAAAATGGATTGTGGAGTTTCAGAAAGAGAGGTTATTGGAGCTCAAAACATTGAAAAGAAACTCGTTTCAATTGAAGGAAGTTCGGAAATAATTAAGGAAAAGGGACTTTGCCGTGGAGAGACTTCTAAGGATTTAGGTGCAGAAAGATCGGGATTGGTGAATGTGAAGATAATGCAAGCGTTTGAAAATCTAGATGTGCCATCAGTGAACAAACTGAAAAATCTTGGAAACATAGGCACAGATTCGGTCATAGCTGATGGTGGACAATTAGAAGCCCCACAGATTAATGCTACTAATGATTCTAGTCACTCAAACAATGTAGCTAGAAGGTCCTCTGAACAATCACAAAAAAGAAGAGCTAATTCGAAAGGTCCAGTAACTAGCTCATGGTCTTTGCGTCCAAAATCTCAAGAGAAGCCAAAGGAGCCAGAGCCTATTAACACCTTGAATGAAGCTACCATTAGTGGAGAAAAGAAGAGGAGGAGAAGGAAAAAGCAGCAGCAGCAGAAGAAGAATACTGTCAACGAGTTTTCGAAAACCAAGTCCCACCTGAAATATCTGTTACACCGGATAAGCTATGAACAGAGCTTAATTGATGCATATTCTGCTGAAGGTTGGAAAGGACAGAGGTCTGTAATGTCTTAATTTTCTGAATGTAATTAATGCTGGCAACTATTTTGTTTTCTACCTGCACAACTTCTGTTTCTAAAGTAATTTATGTCGCTTATCATGTAAAAACATGCATATCCTTTGAAGTATTGGCTACGGCATGTATTAGCTTAATATGTGGATGTGGGGTTTCTGTTACTTGTGTATTCAGTTCGGGATTCTATAATACCCTAACTACATTTAATATGCATGATGGAGATAAGTCTCCGAGGAATTGCTAGTTAAAGATTATAAAAATCACATAATTTCTAGGCATTTATTAAACGTGGCATTGACACATTCTATAAGAGAGGATATTTCTGTTAGAAAACTGCTTAAAATCACACAGGGTGGGTTGAAAATAAAAAAATTAATAAAACTGAGTTACTCATGATGAACTTATTTGTTTCTTCTAAGTTTTCAATTAATGAAATTGTGATGTGGATAGTAAATTGAAACATATGAAGTTTAAGCAACCATATTTGTAGGCAAGTGGATGAACTTGGGTAAAGTCTGCCATGATAGATATGATTGTAGTACTTCCATCTATTTTACAAAATAGTTAAGAGGTGTACTTTATTGCGGATGTAGTAGTTGGTAATTTAAGTATATGGTCAAATCTTCCATCTGATTGTTATGTTTAAATATTTATATACAATAGTTATTATGAGGTTGAGTTCATTGTTCATTCAGCACATAGTATACGAAAATTTTTAAATTGTGTGTGGATGGTGAATAAGAGTAGAATTTTAATTTGGATTTATAGTGTTTTTAAGGTATATTATGGTGTGAGTTTGAGCACTTCCAAAGTTTCAGTCGATACATTCTGTAGGTATAGTTTGTAGCGTAGACTGGTTGGCCCATTTGTATGAGATCACCCACCCACCCCCAAACACACAAAAAGAAGAAAGAAATTTTAACTAGACTCTAGTTTAAGGGACAAAAAATGAAGAAACTTGCTACGGACTCCTCTGGTGAGGGATTAGTGATTGGTTAAATGACAACAATCACCAGTTGTTCTTGGCCATCTCCCAACTAGACACAACACTTTCTATTTTGCTTTTACTCTCCCGCTCCTTTTTTATTTTTGTTGGTTTAGATTGGTGGCTGGGGGTGGCCGTCATACAATCACCCAGTTGTGAGTTTGTAGGTGTGGGGTGAACATAGAAGTTTTGCACATTTGAACAGAAATAATTCATAATTTGGAATGCAGTATTTGACAAATGATTTTCAATTTAGCTTTTTTTCCTTTTTGCTTCAAGTTTTGTGAGTTTCTCTGATTTATGTTCTCGCTTTTCACGTTAAGCTTGGAGAAATTAAAGCCAGAGAAGGAGCTCCAGAGGGCAAAATCTCAGATATTACGCTACAAGATGAAGATAAGAGAGTTGTTTCAGCGCCTTGATCAGTCACTTACTGCGGGAAAGATTCCAGAATCTCTTTTTGACTCTGAAGGAGAGATTGACTGTGAAGATGTAGGGAATGCAGTTGTCTCATATCTGTTTTATTTTCCTTTTATATATAACATGCATTAAACTGGGTTGAAATGCTGTTAGGCATGTACAAGTTCTTGCATGATGTCCTGCGGTTCTTTCTGTTCTGTTACTTTGAATATTATTTTAAAGGTTACTTCCGCAATATCGAGATAGATCCTTGGGTAGTTGGGTTCTTTTCTGTATCCTTGGTAAAATTGCAGGGATGTGGTCAACCCCACCCCCAAACTTATTTTCCTTTTTCTGGAATCTGCGATTGAGAATGTTCTCAGTGTTTCTAGTACATTATGTTTTTATTTTTTTGTTGTACATTATGTTCCTGTACTATGTGGATTAGTGTTGCAACACTGTATGTGGAAAGATCTGTTGAACTTTTGTGCTGGCTTTGCTTTTTCATGGATTATTAACTGGTTTGAAAAGCTTGACTTGTGTACAGATTTTCATGATAGCATAGTTGTGAAAAATTGTGAATGGTAGGTATGGCTTGAAATGATGTAAGCAATAGTCAGTACATAAATTAATGCAGCACTTGCCCAGAAGCATCATATCGGTTATTTAGTCTGACTTTTTCATTTGCGTGGCTATGGATTGATTCCTGCCTTCAGAATGATTCTTTGTTGGTGATTATACTCCCAATATGAATTGATGTTCGCCTTTAGTCAGCATAAAATGGCTTTTTGAACCTTGAGCTCTCTTTTCCTTGTTGCAGATCTTCTGTGCCAAGTGTGGCTCTAAGGATCTGACGCTTGATAATGATATCATCCTATGCGACGGTGCCTGCGAACGTGGATTTCACCAGTTTTGTGTGGAACCACCACTGTTAAAAGAAGACAGTAATAATTCCATGCCCTCCATGATCAATTTAGTTCTTGATTCTTTCATCTCTTTTAACTTTATTTGCCTGCATATGGACAGTTCCTCCTGGTGATGAAGGCTGGCTTTGCCCCGGCTGTGATTGTAAAGTTGATTGCATTGACATGCTCAAGGATTTTCATGGATCAAAGATTAAATTTACTGATAGTTGGGAGGTCTAGACTTTACACGCTATATATGCTTTCACTTGTATTTCTGAAATCATCTGCTTATTTTGCCCTCATCTCATTTGCAGAAAGTCTTTCCTGAGGCTGCTGCAGATGCATCTGGAATGAAATTAGATGATGGTTCTGGGTCTATATCAGATGATTCTGAGGATGATGATTATGACCCTGATAAGCAAAATACAGCAGAGGAGGTTGATGGAGATGAATTAAGTCCTGATGAGTCCAATTACTTTTCTGCACCGGATGATTCGGCTCCTTCTCTTAATAACGAAAAATATTTGGGGCTTCCTTCTGATGATTCAGAAGATGATGATTTTGACCCATCCGCTCCAAACCAAGATGAAGACGAGCAGGTGAAGCAGAATAGTTCTAGCTCTGATTTTACATCTGATTCTGAGGACCTCGGTGCCTTACTTGAGGAAGGGGGGCATGGTGAAGATCTTGGCCAAGTTTCATCCCCGCCAGTCATCGGACAAACCACCACGGATTGTAAAGAGGAAAATTCTGGAGTGGGCAGGAAGAAGAGGCAAACACTAAAAGATGAGCTTCTATACCTCACAGAGACCAGTGTTGAACCAATATCTAGCAAACGGCGTATTGAGCGGTTGGACTACAAAAAGCTGAATGATGTGAGTTATTCTCATGCGGTTATGTTTACACTATCCTCTTCTCATTCTTTTATTTGCACCACATATTGCTTTTGTATTCTAGGTTTCTTTTCAAGTTTGTAGCATCTCTTCACCCATACCCCATTTGTTAGGCCATCTCCAACCGAAAACCCCATACTCAAACCCCTTTTACTCAAATCCCTTTTGCAGTAACTGTCACAGTTTGCAGTAATTCATCTCCAACCAAAAACCCATTTTCAAACCCAAAAGAATATTCTCGGAATATTCTCTTTCACATTAACTTTTACAACTTTACAATACTACCCACATATTTTACAACTTTACAAATTAAACCACACTATTATTTTAAATTCAATTTATATTTTATGTAATAAAACTAGTGAGAATCCCGTGCGATGCACGGCAATTCGTCATGTAAAATATTTTTGCAAAACTTTATTTTAACAATGTATTATCCCGTTGATCCGTCTATATTAATATAAATATCATTTTAACATATATATTTATTTTTAATACAATAAAATAAGAATTTTACATATTTTGGTTCATTATAATACTCAAATATTACTTTATTCAAAAATTTATTGTCGTATAATGTCAATAATATTTATAGCATTTATAGAAGTAATACTTCTTTTTTATATAATGATAAATATTTAATGTATATAAATATTATTTATTAATGTGATTAATTTAAAAATATATAAGTAAATCTAATGTTTGTGAGGAATGTGATAGATCTCGATATTTTAGGTACAAATATATGGTATATATATGTATACAAATATATGATATGAATATCTTGATA